ACTAGCACGTAAAGAAATGGTACATAAGGACGAAACGACAGAAGATATGTGCAAATATAAAAAACACTCGTTAGCCTACTTGGGTGATACATATAGGGGATGCTCTTCATTTTCTTTCCATAGGGAAAAGTTTGTATCAGTTAAGGTTAGAATCAAATATTTTATGATGTTGTTTCTTTTTACACATATGAGTGTCTTGAAGCTTTTGTAGTCCTTTAGTGGGAGGAAAAAACAAAAAAAAAAAAAAAAATCAAAATAGATGAAGAGACGATAGTCAAGTTTGGTTTTTCTCCCCATCGAAGAAATGTAAAAAAAAATATCTCTGTGACGTGTGCACATAATATGGAGATGTTGCATGTGCATTCGTTTAGGTGGCGGGATTGTGAGAGAGCAGCAGCACATGGGTATTATCTATGTGGCTGTTTTCCGTTTTTTCCTTCCTTACATCATTTATTTTGTTTATAATAGAATAATTTTTTTCCTTTTGCATGCACCCGTATATGTTTCCAACTACATATTCTCCTTCTTCCTGCAAAGGTGAAGTGTTGAATGTGGAATATGGTGTGGAGGAAATGGCGCACAGAAGCGGGGATAGAACTTGTTCTCAGCTTTAGTCGTAACTACAGTCGTAGTCGCGGTCGCGGTTGCAGGCGTAGTCGGTTGACTAGGGGAAGGCGGTGTAAAAGACAAAGCAGTAACAATGGCAGTGTAATGGTGACCAGGATTAGAAGGAAGGAGGACACTTTTCTGTGCAAAGCGTGCGCGTCGCCAAACACAAATAAGACACAAATTACCGAAAAGGCAAAGAAAGAGGACACATTGCAATTTAATTCCATAAAATGGAAGTACGTGAAGCCTAATGAGTACTCTACGAGGAGTGCAGTAGAACAAATGGCATGTCGTGAGTCGGAGTTCACATTGGCATTGCGCTTACTCTTACTCTTACGCGTGCACGTTTGTGCTTGGTGACTAATGGGATAGCATCAGCTGATATGCGTTTAAGTGATATCCCGTAGGGGGGGTAGGATGCTACCTGTGTTGGGCCTGATAGAATTTATTTTGAACAGAGGCTTGAAGCTGTATAGGTCATCAATTAACTCTTTTTCTTTCTTCTTTGCACTAACTTTTACTTCGATTATTTCTATATTTGTGGCGTCCCAAAGGAGTATGGTTCCATCGACTGAGGAGAAGATTTGTGTGTGTGTTTGTGTGTATGAGGGGTGGGAAACGAACAGGAATCACGCGTTGGGGGTTCATACACGCAGGTATACAAACACGAAATGTTACAAAAATGCAATAGTATTATACATATGTAGGCGTTCCTATTCATGCGCTTTCACACCCGTATTGGACACAGGACAAACGAGAGCTCACCTGATATGGAGATCAACAAATGGAAATTCTTCTGATTGTTAATAGATATTTTTTTTTCACATATCACTAAGGTTTTGTCGTTCAGCAGTAGAAGAGATGTCACTTCCCTTTTGTGTGAGTGCTCTATGCTGCTAAATATATAGGGTTCTATGTCGACTGTTTTTTCATCTAAATAGGAAATTAGGCGGTGAGGTGGTATAGGTTATGCAGTGGTAGTGAGACAAACATGTAAATTTCCTTTACGTATACTTATCAATGTATACACACGTATCCATTTTTGTACTTATTTTGGAATCTAAAAGGGGTCTTCCTTGAAAATTGGGTGGGAGCTTCCAAACGACTAGCTGTGCAGAGGAGAAGGTTTTTTTTTTTTTTTTGAGGGGAAGGGGATAAAATATGTGGCCTAAAGCAGTAGTTAATGACGTTTTAGAAAATATATTTATGAGTGAACATGTGTTGTGCGGTTTGTCGAACTAAAGGATCCGAACCAGTCCGTTGGTACATCCGGCAATAACGACATCGTAGGTCTTTCCGTTTACAACCGCACTGGAAATTTGCTGCACGGAAGGAACAATTATTTTGAGTGGTGTGGTACGTGTTAGCGTGTCATGAGAGGAAGTTGCATTCGGTTCGTCTGCCCAGTTCGTTTAACTGTAGTTGGCGCCATCTCATCCTATTTCGCGCTGCTTTATTGGCGAAATCGCTCTACAAAAGGCTTGTGAAACGGTGTCCGCATGGGCACTGCTCATTTCTATTACGTATGGAGATATCAAGGCGTAAAGCGGGTTTATGTAGTTGGAGTAGGACCAAATGAGGATGTAGCTGTCCGTGTTGACTCCTTCGATAAAATTGTCGTTTTTGTAATTATTCACATATATTATAAAGATTAGGTAGTTTATTAACGGTAAGTACAGAGTGAACAAGACGACCTTATCTGTTGTATATTTCACATCTGTGTATATAAATATTTTGTTTAATTTTTTGGTATGTTTGAAAGACATTATATCAATGTTTTGAGCATTGGGTTTTGCATTCGTTTCCGTAATAAGGCTATTTTCAATTAGGCATTTTTCCATGACGGGGAAAAGCTTATGAAGAAATTTTTTCAGATGATCGGATCTGAATATTTCTTCTTTTTTTTTCTTTAAAAAGTCAATGTTATACTGAACTCCTAAATTTTTGTACAGTGCCTTGTATGTCTGGCAATTTTTTTCCTCATGGATAATGGAATTGTTTGAGAAAAAATCTAGCGTTTTCGCCTGCACCACTGAAGTGGTCTACAAGTGAAGATTAAAACAAGGTGGAAGGGGTAAAAAGTGGTGCTAACTCTGTTGTGTGAATAATATTAACACTTTTTTTTTATTGATTGTTTCGTCTGATTATCAACCTTTTTGTTTTTTTTTTATCATTTTTTTTTTTTTTTTTTTTTTGTGTTACCAGTGCGTTTCCCTTGATGGGTATGAAATGGTCGTACTGAGTAAACTGCACCTCGGTTCCTATTTTGTTCCTTTTGCTGATGTAGAGACACTTTTGGAATTTCTTCCTATTTTCTGTGGCTCTGGTTGATTTTATTTCCTGTTCAATTTCTTGCTTGTACAACGAAAAGTAATTTTGGGGCTTTATGAAGACGCAGCTTAGCTCCGGTTTGTCCATTCCATTTTGGTCTACTAACGGGTCGGTGGGGCGTTTGCCCTTCTGCGTGGGAGATGAAGCGGAAAAATAAGTTATAGTTAATGAACAGCTGAAATGGGGCCAGTTAGAGCGCGTTACAGACCCGTGGTGAGGAGGACACAAAAGGGATCGCAACAAATGTGGTGACAAAAGAGGGCTGTACCTGGAGGAAATAGGAAAATATCTCCTCGTCGACAACCACGGCGTGATTTCCTTTGTAATATTTTTTCGAATCTTTGAAAATTAATACGTCGTCCAGTTTGTATTTCTGAAGAGGTCAGGGGGATTCACCAAATAGTGTGTGCGGCACATCAGGACATTTTTGAGGTTTAGGGTTCAGGGTTTAGGTTGCAAAGGTGTCCTCAAGCAGGGTATAGTATATATATACGTGTAAGCTTCTCAGTCAGAGCGATCAACATTTTTAGATGACGCCTAAAACGGGAAGACAGATCTAGAGAAGCACACATGGACACACGTATGTGCAAGTCTCGGATTTTACTGTTAAGGCATTCTTGATTGAAAGAAACTCATCCGTGGTGAGGTACTTTTGCGCGAGGGAGAAGAAGTAGTTTTTATTTATGCAGGCAGCTTGCGAGTTCTTAAAAATAAGGATACTTAAATCGTTGCAGAAGTCTAGCCCCAGAAAACCTTTTACATTGTTTTCTAGCTCTACGTTTACGGCACTGCATGAAGGAAGACATAAGGAATGTAAAATGGAGGAGTTCACCTATTGCAACATCACAAGGTAATTCATCCTATTTTGTGAACATATATTTCCGTTGTAGCACTCCTTTTTGTAATTGCCTTCCCCTTGACGTAGCTACAGATATATGATTTACTAATCTAGCTGCGCGATCCTGTGTAAGGGTGGTTGTTTATATTTTGTTCATGATTCAACATGCATATAACTACTTTCTCTGCCTATCTGTGCTGTCGTGTGGCAACATTAACAAGAATTAACCTTATTAACAAATTAGCGTTTTTCGGATGCACCTTGACATCGGCATAGTTTTCCGTTTCCTTGAGTATCACCCCTTGGTCGGACAGGGTTCTATTCTTTAATGTGTGTTTGTTTTTATCAGCACTTGCACCTTTCACTTTAGTGTCATTTTCGTTTTTTTTTTTTGTTTCATTTGTTGTTTTTTTTTTTTCATCATTATCTCTTTCACTTTTGTTTTTCACATCAATTTCGTTTTTACTTTTGGAGTCTACTTTTTCCAATTTTTTTTTATTGTCAATTTCGAGTTTTTTTTTATTCATATCATTTTTTTTTTTTAAATGTTCCTTTCGTCCATGTTCAGTTTTTTCATTGTCTTTTTTTTTCTTTGGGATTTTTTTCTCACTAGACTTGGTAATAGCATTTTTGCTCTTCATTATTATTTAAGTATTGGGGGCAGGGGGAATATAGGACAATGTTTTTTTTTTTTACTGCTTACGTTTGGCAGGGTATGCAATAAAAATGTAGGGAACAGTTTTACGCTTTATGTAGTATTGCGAATGACGCAGGATGGGGGGGGGAGGGAAAATAAAAGATGACAAAAAAATTAGGACAAATATGAAGTGTGGATTTTAACATGGGCACAATGGATAGATGAATCACATTTCCCTCTTGAGTAAACGTGAGTATGAACATGGAAATGAAATTTAACAAAATGAAAAAAAAAGGGGGGGAGAGAAAAATTATCTCAGGACAGTTTATATTAAAGGCTACTCTCTCGTGTGCACCGCTTGCGCACCGGCGAGAGGTCAATAAAAAAGAAAAAGGGAAGAAAATGTTCTTGGCGATAATTAAATATGGGATCCCATATGGCAGTTTCAAATGCACATTTTAAAGGTAACTTATTCACGCAGGAGATGGCCACCTAGCAAACGTGACCACTGGAATGTATGTAAACTTGAATCTTTGCCAAAAATAGTAAATAAGGTGAAGGTTAAAAATGAGGGATGTTTTGCTTCTATTTATTTTTTATCAAATCTTGCTCTAGTGCGGACAAAATGGTTTGTATAGTTTTCTTATTCGTTAACAATTTATCCTTATTTTCATTTAATTTTCTTTCAAGGTAAATTTTGCCATCATTTTCCTTGGAGGCTTTATGCAGTATATAAAGACCGTAGACACTCACCTTTAGAAGAAAAAAAAAAAACAGAAAAAAATTTCATTCTCTAGTGAAATAAAACAAGAGCATAGTCCACTACATAATTTTGAATAGGTAGGAGTATAGGTGCGAAGACGTACTCATGCGTATATGTTCATAGGTATACATTCATACAATACACCGTCGTATACACATTTTTACGTAGCTCATTATCTTATTTTATATCTCTCTTCCGGTACCAAATAAAAAACAGAGTAGGTGACTGAACCTATGGCAAAGAAAAAACCCGTCATGAATAGACCCAAAATTTCTTTATTTTTATACCCATTGGAATTATTTTCAGTTAATATCTACAAATGGAAGAAATGTGGGATGAATGAAAAGGAATGCGTACTGTGAAATAATTGCTGAGTGTTGTACATTTGGAGGGAATATATAATTAAACAAAAAAAGAACAAAATGAACGCATGAGTGGCCTCGCCAGATTGGGATGAACTATTGCAACATGTGAGTGCGAAACGCTTTATAATGCCATAGTGTGTATATGTGCACTTCTGTATACTTGAATTTTCTCCTCCGTCAAGTTCGACTTAACAGTTAGCAGAGCATTTAATTCATCAAGGGCCTTTCGGAATTTGGCCTTTTTTTCTTCATTCAAGCAATTACAATTGCTATTGACTGACTGGGATGTAAAGGTGGGTGAAGGGGCGAAATAAAAAGGTTGGCGCTTTTGGGCAAGCTTGTACGTGCGCAAGAATGGCACACTGACACAGTAACAAATGGCAAGCTCGTTTAACGTGTAAAAAGGGCGTATAAAACCGAAACTGCGACATCGCCAAAATAAGGTATGCATGTCATTATCGTACGATATGATTATGTGTGTTAGCAAAAATACTATAAGGTTCTTATCTTAGTAGGCCAAGTATTCCATATACATTCCGCCCAAATGTGCAGCAGTTAAACTCCTCGGTGATGACCATACGTCATACGCGAAATGTTCATGTGCTACGCCATGTGTGTACAAACCCAATGCGGAAGCAATTGTTCCATGGGGAGGCGTGTAATTGGAGTTTCTCCACGCGCATAAGAGCATGACACATACATGTGTATATATGTACAAAGGTACGTACGCATGCACACCGTTCCATACACAATCGCGTATGCCTCAGCTTATGCTTAAATACATCATGAAATTTGTTAGGTTAAAAGAGTTTACCTCTTGTAATGAATACAGCGAGCCCCTATCTAGTTCATTTTTGGCTTTTCTTATTGAGTCAATTATTATTTGTTCTGAAATGTGCTTCCTTTGCATCAGCAGGATGCTGTGCTTTGGGGGAAAATCAAAACGGTTCAAATTTTGCAAACTGTTCAATTTTGTCAAAGCGGTTGAGTACTGTACATTTTTGCAAAACTTGGCTGATGAACAAAATGTTTTTTTCACGAATTGTATATTAATTTTTCTCACACTTGTGGAAAAAATAATATGTGTGTGTGAATGCATTTTTATTTATTTATTTTTCTCCTCGCAATGGTTGTTACACAAAATGTGTTTTTAAGGCATTTCCCTTCACACGTTTGGCACGTTTGCTACGCTTGACGCGTATGACCCGTTTGGCACGTTTGACGGGTGACACCCTCAGTATGTATCTTATCATTCCTGTTCTCGTACTGGTTGCATTTGATCTAGTTATCACGTTACGAAAAAATAATTGACGTTCATGTGCACAAATCGCAGTGCGAGTCATAATTTGAAATATTGCAAACGTGTACACAATTTTTTTAACTCACCCCTGCTCGCATTCTTTTTAACTTGGAAGCATTTCTACTCATGTGCAAAAGGCGTAGCGTTTAAGTGTTTACCTGCGATGCTGAATTGCCCGTTTGAACCATGAACTGGTCAAGTCGCTACGGTGCTAATCTGTATGCCGCTAATAAATCGGGTGAACTGCAAATCTGTTAATCTACCAATCTGTGAACGGCTGAGCGAGGAATTGGTAAATTGCTGAACGCAAAAGTACCAATTTACTAATTGGTGAAGAGGCATATTTTCCTTTTTATGGTGGCATGCACATATTTGTTGAGTTCAGTTGACACAATTTCAATAAGTACTCCCACAAATTCAAAAATTAATATAAACACTGATATATTACGTGACATGCCATGATTCACACTTAAGCACCAATTTCCGTAAACATTTATTTTTGCGAAAATTTGTTCGTGCGTAAACTCTATTTTTTCTTGCTTCCCCCAAGCGATTGCAGTGTTACGCTTTGTCATAACGTATCCCCATTCTTAAAGCGATTACGATAAAAAAAAAGGATATATATATATAAATATATATGCATCATATGAGTATATATATATATATATATTTTTTTGCCATATATTGTATACATATTTCTTTTTAAGAAAAAAAAAAAAAATTCATAATACTTACATTTCCCCTTTTATTTTAAAGAAAACATAGTATGCATACTCGTATGTATGTTTATCATTTTTTAAGTGAGTAAATATGTGATATACCTTTTTTCTTTTGCTTTGCTTTTTCGTATTGTAAAAAAAAAAAAAAAAAATTTTTTTTTTTTCCTTTCATATTTCTTTAAATCCAAAGATTTTATACTTTTAAATTTTACAAACCAAAGGAAGAAAAAAAAAAAAAAAAAAAAAAAAAAAAGCTGAAAAGCCAAATTAACGATAGTATAATAAGGTTAAGTGTTAACATTTTGGTTAAGTTTTCTTCCCATTCTTCGCATTCTTTGCTTCCCTTTTATACAAATAGAACGAAAAAATGGGGTCCTCCATCCAGCCATCAAGATTTTTAGATAGTAAGAACCTTTGAAGAATAAATTTGCTTAGCGTGAATTGTTTTATGTTACGTACCTGTACATATGCATACCAGTACATGTACATACCAGTACATATAAATACCTGTTCATATACGTACGCGCGTACGTACATTTGCAAACAGTGTTACATATATATATTTTCTCATATGAATGTACGAATTTACCCATGCGTGAAGTAATTCCCTATCAATTCCTCCCCCGTTTATCAGCACAAAGCGCAACTTCATTTGACACGTGTACATTGTAGCAACTTGTTCGTATAAGTGTATATTTGGTGTGTTGTACGGTGCTATGTAATTGTGTTGTGTAACCATGTGTATATATTAGGAGGGGTGTTAAAATGAGCATCCCTCCAAAAAGTGTTCTTCATGAGTATGCGCATGTCAACATACCGCTTCGCAAACTTTCGCGCACCTCTCCCATATGAGGAACTGTGCTCACGGTTTACATACCCTTTTACGTATATTTCACCCATCCGCAGGTGCCGTGCTATCTCTGTTTGCCATGATCATTTCGGCAGCATTCCTCTACATGTTTTCAGAATTTTACTTGCTATCATTCGAAGCGAAGTTACTTAACAACAAAATAAGCATGGTGTTGTCTCGTATATTTCCATTCAAAGTAAGAAACGCGAAAATGAATAATGAGGAAATAATAGAGCCAACATAAGAAAAAGAAAGAAAAGACTTGGTGTATGCACGTAAGCATACACGTGTCTCATTTGCCTAGAACACTGTGTACATATGTACATATGTGTATGTATGAAAAGAATTTTTTTTTTTTTTTTTTTTAATGATTGAACTGACTAAACTCATCTTGTTTTTTTCCAAGCAGACCTTCGAGTACAACCTGACCCACATATTGCTCCTGACCATATGCATAATCATGCTTAGCCTCAAGTAAAGCAACAAGAGATGATATCGCACGTAGCTGTCCACTAATCCGTGCACCCAAGAGTTATTGCTGTAGTGTTTTGTGTGTGCCTGTATGAACATGTATACTCATGTCCTCATGCGTAAATGTACTTTATGCATTTTTTCATGTTCCCTTTTTTTTTTTTTTTTTTTTTTCGTGCACTCCGTAGGCCTGATTATAACGTCCACAGCAAGTCCAGCAGTAGTAAGGACATCAAAAGAATCCCAGGGAAGGAAGATTCGCACAAAATGGATGACCTTGATAGAATGTCAAGGGACAAGAAAAAATGAATGGCAAACTAAAACATTACAACACAGCCGCATGGGGAATACAACCAGTGAATTCATTGTGCAGTCTATATATATATGCAGCTGAATATGTGTACGGACGTGCATATATATCTTATATCACATATATGTTTGTGTGTATGTATATTCGCGCACAAGTATATGTATGTACATACTGTATAACCGCATTCAGTGTTATGGTGAAGTATGTGTTATGAGTTTTTTCGCTTGTTTTACAGTCGGAAAAAAAAAAAAAA